CGGCCGGCCGGGGCCAACGCCGGGTCGCCCGAGCGCGCGCGGCCCCCCAAGGGCCGGCGGGGGTGATGGCGCGGGGGAGGGGCGGCGCAGGTGGGGGAGGGGAGGTCGCGGGCCTCTGACAATAACATCTCGCCGCCGGCTCCCGCCCCCACCCCTAAGCTAAGGGCTCCCGCCGCTCTGGGTGCACTCACTCAGGTAGCGGGTCCGTGCGGGCCCCAAGCGGCTGCGGAGTGGGCGGGTGGCGCGTCGGTCGCTCGCTCAATCCCGGCGGCCCCGCTCTAGCGCGTCCCTCCTGCGGCCCCAGCAGCAGCGGCGGCAGCGGCAGCAGCAGCTCCTCCACTTCCGGTTCCCCTGCCACTCAGGCAGACGGGTCCCGGAAGTCCCGCCCCTCCCGACGGGCCTCTGCCCCGCCTCCGGCGCTTCGGTTTCGAGCTACGCTGGAGCTCCTGCTGCCGGCTGCGTCTCGCTGGGCTCCCTGCTTTGTTCTGCCTCTCGTCCCCTTTTTGCCAATAATCCGTGCTATGGGGCCTCTATCTCTCCTACAGCTGCATCCCTGAACCCTGCGCTCCCGTCACTGCGGCGTGATGGACGCTCCCGCCCCCGTGGCATTCGGGACAATGTGCCCTGACCTCACACTGACGCCATTCCTTCTCACCCCGCGACCTGGCTTCCTTCTCCACCCATAGAATAAACCGGGTTGCTGAAAGTGTTAGGGAACTGGGAGCCCACGGTTAATGAGGCGGCCCCTTACATTTAGGAGTGGAATATTTTTCCATGATGGGTGGCAAGCTGGGTGGCCGCCTCTTACGGGGATACAATGGAGGGATGGCGAGCCCCAGTCTTCCTTAAAGATCCATCCAGTTTGTTAGCCAAAAGCGATATCCCCAAGAATATATGCAACAGCTAGATAAATGCGGGATCTGTGAGAGCGGAGAGGAGGAACAAAAGACATGCTCAGGGGCCGGGGAGATGGCTCAGTGGAATAAGCGCTTCCCTGGCAAGTGCAAGGGCCTGAGTTCAATCCCCAAGACATGCTCGGGCTTTAACGGGAAGCGCCTGGGCTGGCTCTTTGAGGAGGGACAGAATTGAGCTGACCAGGCAGAGCCTTCCTGGGCCCTGAAACTGAACGAGGGATTCCAACTTTGCAGACAAACCCAAATAAGAATAGTGTAAGGCCCCTGGAGCTAAAGTGTCAAGATACGTTAATTTCTCACATCACCTGTGTTGTCAAATGATATTAAGTAGATTCTACTACCTCAGGCGTATACACCCAAAAGTAAATTGGTACAGATAAAAAATGATTTTCACATTGTTGATTTACCGTAGAACTCTCTGGCAGATGTTGACACAGACGTGGCACACCAGTAAGTGCTCAGGAAATGTTCTACCGAAAAGAATTTGTATCCGGGAACTCATATGATGGTACAAAGAGGTTGTTCAGAAATCTGTTGACAAAGGAAGCCACCTGAATTATTCGCCTGGCATAAGCTTGTAGAATCCTGCATTTTCTCAGTTTTAGCACTCAGTATCTGCCAGGCCGGGTGACGCATGCCTGTAATCCCAGCACCCTCCGGCTCCACAATGGGTCAAGGCCAAACTCATCTGCAAACCCTCAATATCTCATTTATGAGGTAATTTTCTTAGGATCTTTGAAATCCATGCCCGCTACACACACACACACACACACACACACACACACACAGACACACGAGGTATCAAATCCAAGGAAATTTGCTAGTTTTTAGAATGGCCTATGATAGATGACTTTCCAATTTTTTATTTATTCATTTTATTTTTTGTGGAACTGGGGATTGAAATCAGGCTCTTGTGCTTGCCAGGGAAGTGCTTATTCTACTGAGCCACCCCCGGCCCCCTCTTTTTTATTTTTATTTTTTTAAAGGTTTTTTTGCCGAATGGGGGATTGAACTCAGGCCTTTACACTTGCCAGGAAAGCTCTTATTCTACTGAGCTATCTCCCCAGCCCCAATTTTTTGAAAAAGCATGAAAATTGTAAGTAATCACTCAGATCTGTAATGAGTGTTAATAGTGTGCTTGAGGAGGAGTGAAGAATCCAAAGCTAAGAACAGACGCATGCGTCTAGGCCTTATTTCCTGGTAAGTGCATTGATTGCGTTACCCAGCATCCTTGAAGGCAGGCGGTTCCAGGCCAGGTGTGCCGGTGCATCCTGTCGTGCCAGCTACTTGCAAGGCTGAGATGGGAGAACAGCTTGAGTCCAGGAGTTTGAGGCAAAATAGTAATACTGTCTCAAAAAAAAAAAAAAAAA